ATTTATTAATTACCGATGAAAGCGTTTACCAACGGCGACAGCGCAGCGTTTGTGTGTCTCACTGGTGTTCTCTGTGTTCTCTGTAATTTGATATCGTTCATTGGGACAACCGAATCGATAGTCGATGAATGCATAAGACTGTACATACTCGCGCGCGCACACCTTATCCCTGGGATTAATTACGGCGATTCAGGGTTGATTACTGTTCCAAGCGAATTGGATCTTTTTTAATCCTGGATTAATGAGCATTCACGAGAGCTCGATACTTATTCAGAAAGGGTTTAATGAATGTTATTAAACCGATGAATGTCATTCGAAACGGTTTGTTAATAAGTGTAGTGTGTATATATATATATATGTATACGTGCGCGCTGGACCGGTATTTTCGTTGCATGTTATTTTATTTTCCTTGACACGTGCAAACTCGATAAACTCTATTATGCCGCACACTATTAAAGTAATTGCCGGTTGGGGACATCAGGTAGCGTTGTTCAATGGTGTTATCCAATTATGTTCAATGGTGTTATCCAGTTATGCACTTGTGATTGGGTAGTCTAGGGACAAGATGAGTGGATCTGAAGCTATTAGTGTGCGCTCTAGGTTTAACGCGGTTTGAGGTTACGAATCACCGTGGACAGTAACAGCATACCATAATCCATGCCGGTGATTATGAAAGTGGTTCTGTCTCTTGGCGTATCTGGATTTGCAGGTTGACAGCATCATCAAACGATTCATTTCACAACAATTTCATAAATGTATCTTCGCAAGCAAAATCATTGACACATTTCAATATTCTCAGAATCTCCATAACCTGTTTCGCACCGAAATAAACAAGAACCGTACTTTTTCCTTATCGAAGAATGGTAAAGAAGAGAATCGAAACTTTCGAAAACGATCATGGATAAAGTTTGTACACCGGTACTACGTGTCATTGGTTCTCGAGTATAACGGAAATCGATTCGAACCATAGATTTCGAAGGTCCCAAATTTTCACGGACGTTAAAACCGCTAAGTTACAGCGGAGAGAAGGGAGTTTGCGGGTGGCTTCCCAGCAAACTTTCGCCGAACGAAATTATTTCTGCAAACCACGAAACGACATTATCGCCAGTTCTCCCGGTTGTGTCCCTGCCTTATCTGTACGCGTGTACGTTCCACGAGGAACGACGTTTCCCATTGTTGAGAGACGGTGGAACTTTGTTTCTCGCCTCGACCCTTCGGGACCGCCTTCTGTCCTCTTCTGTTTCCGCTCCAAGAATCCCCCCACGTCGGCTCGTTTACCGGCGTTGTTTCGCGTCGTAACGCGTGTATACCGGCGCTACCTGAAACGTTGTACGGTCGTTCTATCGTCGAGATGCTGTGGAACGATAGGGTCTCGATTAGAGTGGACCGTAGTTTCAGTGACATTGGCGTGGAAGGTCGCCTCTCTCTCTAGTGATTTATTTTTGTTTCTATTAATTGTAACTTCCATGTGAAGCAAGGTGAAAGCCTTGGCTATTATCGCCAATTGCCCCTCTGTAGTAGCATTTAGTAGCTAATAAATTTACCTATATCTCCTTCGTATACCAGTCGGTAGTAAATTACAATGGTTGATAAAAAAAACAATATAATCGACGTTTTATTTTGAAAGGTTAGTGGTGTATTTTCGAGTTTGTTAGCGGTATCTCCTTGTTTCATTAGGATCTGAATCAGTGACACGAATTATAATAGATAAAGGTGACTATTGAATTTCACTTCCGTTCTAATTACTTCATTTTCGTTAAAGATATTATTATTCCATTGCGCAACGAAATAAATCACGCAATACGTTCTTGCACATGTTTATTAATTTTCACGTAAAAACTGGAATTTACGTAACCGGTAAGAGCTCTATTACAAAAGTGATTATTTGCACGCATGTTAAGATGAACCATATGTGTGGGTGGCATTGTTCCTCGGAAAAGATTCCAATCACTTTGGTCAATTGGTTGAAGAATGTTCTTTGAAAACATTCGAGATATCGCAAATCTTCACATGATCCTGTGCCTGCGCTAAACTTATGCCAGTTCGACCCAGAAGCTCGAAGCGATATATGTTCCAGAGGCCAAGTAGTCTAGGGAAATTGGAAAGCGTTCTAAATGTCACCCGGTCCATAAACTCCTCCTCCTCTTCGGCCTCCAAAGGCAGTGCCATTCGCGCGCATACCTGACGCAGTCGAACACCCAACATTCCACTCAACATCAGACTCAACATTTAATTCCACGGTAGCCCCAATATTTAATTCACCGTTTCATTCGATACCCGATTTAACATTTAACTCAATATTTGATTAAATTTTTCATCGTGTATGGAGCATAATATTATCATTGCCATTTAACCCAATGTCTAACTTAACAGTGAACTTAGTTTTTAACGTAACATTTAACTCAACGTTTAACTTAACTTAACGTTGGAGTCGACAGTGGACTCAGTACTTAACTTAATATTTAACTCAGTACTTAAGTTAATATTTAACTCAACACTTAAGTTAGTATTTAACTCAATATTTAACTC